ACCAAGCACATCGCACTACGGTACTTCTTCGTCAAGGACGAAGTTGACTAAGGCAAAGTTGACCTGACATACTGCCCAACGGGTGACATGGCAGCAGACTTCCTCACGAAGAGACTGCCGCGTCAGCAGTACCAACACTGCTCCGAACTTAGCGGGGTAGTCAAGCGGGTCAATGCTCGCTACGGCCAGGAGTGAAGGGGGGTGTTACGAATAGTGGTTAATGAAAAACACTGTTGCGCACTCCTCACCGTAGCAAAGCCGAAGCACGCACTATCGAGAGTGAAGACGAAAAGGCAGAAGAAAGGCCAAGGGACAGACGGTTACGAGGAGCATCTGGACCGTCGGGCAGACATCATCAGGCAGCAGCAGTGGCGAGGATTCTGCCCGAACAGTTACGTAACCACTCGGAGTCGCACGGTTGGATTTCGCCGCAATAAGGAAATGTACCCCTTAGAGTACATGGTCACTTAGGTCGTTTCGATTTTCCCTGTACTCATATTTATATTCCTTGTACTGCACATTTTTTTTATCTCAAGCATCTACATTCACTCTGCTATTCAGGACAAGGGTCCACCACCACTAGACTAGAATGTGAGAACCTTCCTGAGGTGATCCTGGTTATGATCACTTTCTGATTTCAACATGGAGTACACACTCTTGCATCACAAAACACCAGCATCATGGGTTCTGAGGGCAGTCATGAGGCACTCATCTTACTGACTACATACCATACCGTATCAACCGAGCAGAACTGGTGACATTCCTGGTCAGATAAAAAATTGAACAGGCTTGCTACAAGGCATTGTGCTGAGCTCGGCATGTCGTTTCCTAGCTCTACCCCAGCAGCACCCACCCCGCTGCACCTTGTCACCCCCCCATAAAATGACCTCCAGCTGCACTACTGCTGAGCACACTGCACTCTGGGCCCTGCATCCTCGTCATCTTCATAAGCCTCCTGAGCAGCCTGAGCCTTCCTCCGCATCTCCTCCTCCATGTTGACATCATGCATTGTAGTCTCCTCACAATTGTCCAGCTCCATGGCCGACATAGCAGGTGCGGGACGAGGAGGCAGAATTGTCTCCAGTTGAGCGCATTGCTCAGGCGTGAGTGAGTCAGGGAATTCTACATTGAACTGGATGTAGAGACGGCCCTTCATGAATGGGCGTGTGTGCTGAGGCATACCCTCATCATTGATGGCCTTGAACTCCTCTGCAGCGGATGATCGTATGGGTTGTGGGGATAATACCGAAACACCAATGAGTACACACAAAAAAACATGTACACATGCGTTCGCGTGTCAAAACCTTAAAGCAACCAGGCAGCAGGAACACTCTGACCAGAGTCAGAGAAAAAGTACCGAAACGCATCACGATGAACAAAGGCAAGAAAAGCATGTGACTTACTTGGCTTAATAATTTCGCCAGGTGCAGATTTGATGAGGAGCTGGCGACCGTCAAGGTGTGTCAGAGGGAACTGGAAACCGCATAGAGCCTCAGTGAGGGTAAGGGTGTGTTCAATGAACAAGTCATCTCCCTTGCGCTTGAAAACGGGGTGCTCCTTCTGCTGCAGAACGAATACAATGTCTCCAGTAACAGTGTCCGGCTGCACAGATAAGGGACAGATGGAACACGGGAAACAAATTAATGGCGTAACACAGACAAGCTTACCGCAAGCTGATTATTCTAACGAATAAATTATGGCGTGTAGAATCTACTGCTATGTTCTGAAATCTTACCGCTTCATCAGCCTCTCCAGCAAAAGTGATCTTCTGGTTGTGCTGCATGCCCTTCTCCACATGCACGTCCAGAAGCTTCTTCTCCTGAGCCACCTTCTGCCCTTTGCACTGCCCGCACTTGTCCTTCTCAGAGATAACCTCACCTGGAGGGTCACGAACCAGCAACAGTAAAGAAGAATTTCGCAACCGGTTCAAGGCGAGCAACATGCGAGATCGTCAGGGATTCTTTGCATCATGACAATACCATCTTCGTCAAATCGAAAAAAAAGGCCAAAATGACCTGAACTAAATCGACCATCCCAAGTGTCCTACACAACAAGGACCATGTCGGTACAAGACTTCGAACTGACTAAGTCGGGCCTGCTATGGAGCGCGGAGCATACCTGATCCTCGGCACTCGGGGCACACGTGCTGCATTTGTTGGATCATGCTGGGACCCAGCTGCCGGATGGAGATCTTCATGCCCGAACCCTGGCAGCTGGCGCACTGGCTCGACGCGCCGGACTTAGAGCCCTTGCTGTAGACACGGAGTAGCAGCGGAGAGGTGGGGAAAGGAAAAGCAAGAAAGATACGAGACTGAGAGAGAACTTCAATATGGAATGCAAAACCAAGTAAACCGCGAGGCTGAATCAAGGACAGCAGCGTGAAGTTCTCCACAAAGCGCTTCAAATTCTTACGTCACTGCTGATCATAAACGTAATTCTGATTGCCTTTTATGGGCGAGCGTCGAGACTAATTTCTCCTGGTAAAATCCTACCGGCGTTATTTCCAGCATCCCAGCCACACAACAGCCAGCGCATGAGAGCGCGTCCCGCCATAAAATTAACGGCGCGGACTCACCCTTTGCACTTGGGGCAGAGCACGTTGCGCGAGAGCGAGAGCTTCTTCGTGGTGCCATTATACACGTCCTCCAGAGTGACCTTAAGCGGATGCACCACGTCTTCTCCCCTCCGCTGCCTCCGGCTTCCCCGACCGGAACCTGCCATCGGGATTCGACACGACGAGAGAGAGCAAAAACGTCAGCGAAAGCCCAACGGATAATCGCCTTCTAGCGACATTAGTGAATGGCGAAAACGAAGACGAGAGAAGATGGAAAGAGAAAATACGAGAGCAGGAAGAACCACTTTGCGTCCGCGAGTCGAACAAACAGATTCATGACAAGGTATGTTGAGGCGATGCACAGAAACTACGCACCGAAACTGCCGCCGCCGAAGGGATGACCGCCAGAGCCGAAGAAGGAGGAGAAGATATCGAAGGGATCGTGCATTGGCCCTCCGGCTCCCTCCTTAAGCGCGTCCTCGCCATACTGGTCGTAGATCTCGCGCTTTTCGGGATCACTCAATACCTCGTACGCTTGAGCCAGTTCCTTGAACTGAAGGGGTGGAGAGCACACAACGCAGGAAGAACAGGACGAAACAAGATGCGGTTAGATATATTCGCGGTGATTATCACGTTTCTTTTAGGTGGCGAGGTAGTCACACTATACGCCATCAGTGGGAAGGACACGAAAACCCTAGCCATAGAGGACAAACGGGATTGCGTAAGAAACGGACGATGCCCAAATCCAGTGTTAATTGCTTCGGAAGTGTGTAAGACAACAAGGCAGACTGAACAAGGATTAGTGCATTCGCATGAAAGAAAGAAGCGACAAGTGTCTCGGCGACGAGTAAAGAGTGGAACAAGGAGGGGGGAGAAGGGGGAAGATCGAATGACAAACGAAGGAAGAGAGAAAGTAGGGAGAGAGTGGAGAGGCAGGGAGGAGTCGAGAGAGGAGCGAGAAATGGGCGGAGGAGAGGGGGAGGACAAGAATTTAATTAAAACCAAAACGAGAGAACGCGAGATCTCTGAAGGGGAGAAAGAGAGAACGGCGGGCAAACAGTTAGCAGGTAGACTCACCTTCTCTGGATCACCGCCTTTGTCGGGGTGATTCTTAATCGCAGCCTTGCGATACGCCTTTTTCAACTCATCGGCCGAAGCGCCTTGAGGTACGCCGAGGACCTCATAGTACCGCGTGTTGTTGCTCTTCTTCGACGGTTGTCGACCAAACATCTTCCCGCCTCTTTCTAGTCAACACTATAAAGAGCACAAGCGCGAGCTGAACAGAACCAGACAACGGAGAAACCAGATCCTCGGCGTCCCCCGAAAAAAAAGCAACCAACGGCAAGCTAGAGATGCGGCCTAGTAGCAGCAGAAGAGCCTGTGACTAGGCTGAGACTCTAGATCCGCGAGAGTTAGATCTGGAAAGAGGAAGCAGAAGTGGTGTCGCTCGTGTGGTTGTCTGAACGAGATTGACAGACTGCTGACGGAACAAATGCAAAAAAGTTTTCCTTTACGTTAGCGTCTGAGCCTTGTGACACCAGTGCGATCGCTGAGTGGAAGCAGCGCGAATGTTTCTGGCGACCAACCGAAGCTGTCTCTAGAAGCCAATCAGAGGCTCCACCAGTGTGCGGGATGCCCCGGTCCGAACCGCCACTAGCAAGTCTACTGCCCTATTTTGAGGTTGGGATGAGACTCTGGGCAGGTTTGTGTGAGAGGGATGAATTTCTTCTGGGGAGGCTCCTGTGAAACATTCGGGGTTTTAGGCAGGGAAAGTTTTAGATGGGACAACCAGTGGATGACCAAACCCCATGAGGTCCGAGAAGTCTGCGGTGTTGCGGGAAGCTGAGAGAACCTTCTGGAGCGAACCCCCACCAAGCCGACGAATCTCTCCCTGCCCGATCACAGAAGTCGAGATTCTCAAGAGGAAGCCTTGCGTCGCCGGCTTCCAAAACCAAAATTGGTCGTCACTGCGGCGAAAAAGCCGAGGCTGTTCCACTCTGTGCGATCACGAATGTTCTCGTGAGAATGTGAGAAGTTAGAGGGTTGAGAATGTGCCACGTGGAAGAGTCGACGCACAGATTTAGGACAATGTCGAGGATGAACTTTCTAGAAACGTCAGCATTGGTATGCATCGTCGACGGTGCGTTTGGTGGGACCAGGCGTTCCTGGGTGATAAACAGTTCACACATAGAGTATTGCCATTACAATTGGTATATAAAAAAGCCCCCAAGCATTGAGCAATCAGGATAATGAATTGTATGAATACACAAATAATTCGCATGAGATAATGAGAGGTGATTAAATTGGAAGAGTTACTTTCAGAGGCATTTGTTTTTTAAGATCCCGTAGATTACATTGACATTCTCTAATACCGCATCACTCCATTTGGACACTGGACATGACAAGAAGCGTTGTGGTTGTCAAACCCTCAGCACTGGGGGGACTCATGGTTCCTGGGCTAGGCATTCTACCAGCCGTTCGCTCCACGTGTGTCGGCGCCACACCCTCCAGTGTTATGTTTTCCACAGAAAAACAGACCGTTTCCCACGGCGTGTGGAAATAGATCGGCACAAAAAAAAAATCTGCTGACTCCCTCACTAGCCTCCATCACTTGAAACTTAACTTTTTCCGCTCTAACTCCTGCCCAGCAAACTTTAGGGACAGTGGAGCCACACATCGCAGGTTCCCAACCAGCCCGCACCAAAACCAGGACTACCCTGTTGTCACTCTTCAATCTTCCCTCCCTCTCTTTCCCTGTCGCACCTTCAGCACGACTGTGCTGTTGAGGACGCTTGTTCCCCAGCGACCCTCCAGCCGTTTTGGGAGGTTTTGAGCTTACTATTCTGGATGATCTATGTTTTCCTAGATCTGCTGGTCTTATTTCGTCCGTCGCTGTTCGTGCAGCAGGGCTAGCACGTCACGATAGGATAAAATAGGATAGCAAAACCGCGACGTGTTCTCGGATCAGGCAATTCTTGGGAGGCTACAACGTCGCCTGTTTGGGACTGATTGATTCGGCTCGATCGCATTGCGTGACTGAAGCGCGGCGTTTGTGACCTTTCTAATCCAGTCAGGTATGCAATCGGGCTTTTCGATCCTAGAAGGAATTTATGCTTATTTTCTGCTGGTTTCAGTGCTTTCTCTCGATGTGAACGAAGATATTGGGGCCGCTTGAGTTCGGCATTCCCCATTCGTTGATTTTTTAATATATATAGTCTGGTAAAAAGGACCACCTTAACCGTTTCGGGGCTCTGGCGTTGATGGTTCTTTGATCAATTGTCACTTGATTGCCTTGTCAATCGAGCAAACTTGCTGAAGAAATAGATTATTGTTGATGAAGGACACTATTTCTTTCCCTCACAACTGCTCCGCCCCGCGCCATCCAATTCTGTTTGATTGGACACGCCTCATGTACCCTGTCTTTAGATCCGACTATAGGGATCACAAACTTCTGTTGTACCTCGTCGTCGGCTTTTGGGTAGCATCGACTGTTATACCTCCCCGACCCATCATCTACTGGTCAACTCTTTTTGTCCTACCGAACGGCTTAATCACCAGTATCTCAAGACTGTGTAGCACAGACTTACCCGGCGCATAAGCGGCTCAGCATAACCGTTGCTTTAGGCTTTCCGATCCGCCGTTCCTCTAGCAAACGACAAAGAATTTATCTCACCCTTTTTGTCCATCTCTTGTCTCGCCTCTTTCCGTGCCCCCCCCTGCATTCAAGCCTCGCACGCACAACAGGAACAGAGCCCGTTGTTCTCCCGCTTGTCCCCCGGCATGGGAGCGGACTCCACCCTCGCCACGCCCTCCGGGACTGCTTCTAAAGAGCCTCAGAACCAATATTATTTATAATTCCCAACTGTCCCCCCCTTTTACCCTGTCCCTCGCGGCTGACCCCCTTGCAGGTCGTCGACATGGGAGCGGACCCCAGCCCGCGCTACGCCCCTCCGGATCCCACGCTGCCCGCCCCTTGGCGGGGCCTGGTTGACGGCTCTACAGGTTACCTCTACTACTGGAACCCCGACACCAACCAGACACAGTATGAGCGCCCGGGCGGGCCGGCTCCTGCCGGCGGAGGCGGGGGAGCAGCGGCGGTGAACGGCGCGAGCGCGAAGAGCGCGCAGCAGAATGGAGGACATGCGGTGGCTGGCGATGGGGGAGCGCAGAAGACGGCGGCGGCGGCGGCGGCAGCAGCTGCGGCAGCGGTTGGTGGTGGCGGCGGCGGTGGTGTTCAGGTGAGTTGTTTCGCGCTTTCAGTGTGGTCAGGATTTCAGAGTTGCTTTCTTTCACTCGCCTTCTCTGCCGTCTTCTTGGTCCGTTCCGTCCTATCCGCGTCCCCTCTGTTGTATCACGTTTTCCCATCGGTTCTCCCCTCCTGCTGTATCCTTTTCTCCTCTCCCGCTCGTGTCTCGCCCATGGCAGCACGTCAACGGCGCGGCAGCGTCTTCCGATGATGTTGTGGCGTACAAGCGAAAACACGAGATTACCGTCGTGGTAAGAACGCGCTTTTTGTTTGGCCTTTCCTCTCACTGCTAGCGTGCTTGCCTGCTTGCTCGCTCACGCACGCACCTCTTTCCTCCGTTTCACTCCTCAGTCCCTCTTTTCCCGCCTCATGTCCCTCGTCGCGTCTTCTTTCTTAGACAACCGATTTCGTGCGTTGTCCCTCTCTCGTTCTCTCCTTTTTCGGCCTACCTCATAGTTGGATGCACTTGTCACCGATTCTCTCCATCTATGCGTCGACTGTTGTTTGGTCTATGTCACATGGTTCAGGTCTTGTGTCGAAGCCTCTTGATGGTTTTCTCGCGCTGTTCTTGAACTTTGGTTTGTGTGTGCGACGTGTGTCGCGTGTGCGCGGCGTGTGCGGTTCTGGTCTTGCATGCGTGGCGAGTGTGCGGTGTTGCGTGTCCGCATGCTGCTATCTGCTTCGCGCGTTGCAACCATGGCCATCCGTATGCGCGTATGCGTCCACGCGCCTGCGTGTGTGAATGTGCGCGTTCTCGTTTTCGCGTGCGTGCGTGTGCGTGCGTGCAGGGATCGAACATACCGCCGTTTCTAACCTTCGAGGCTGCCAATTTCCCTTCTGACATCTACCGCGAGGTACCTTGCCTCCCTCCCTCGTGCTCTTCCCCTCCCGCCTTCCTTCTTCCCCTCTCGCCCACCCTGCTCCCTCCCACCTCCGTTGCCCCCTCCCATGCCCTTTTGCCGTTTTGGTGGAATGTAGTTTACTTTTAAAAATTCTTGCTTCTGACCTTGGTCTCTGTCAAGCTTTCAAGCCCTCGTTTGCACTTCAATCCCCCTCACTCTTCCAACCTCTTACCGCCTTCTCCCTTCTTCCCCCCTTCCCCGCACACTCCACTGTTCTCTCATCCAATTCTATTTTTCATCCCTCCACCAATCCCCCTCCCCCTCTCCCCCCCTTCCCCCCTCCCCCTCCCTCCTCCCAATTCCCCATCCCCCTCCCCGCCCTATTCCCGTACCCCAACTCCCTCCCTTCCCACTCCTCCTTCCCCCGTGCTTCCGCTTCCCCCAATTCACCAGCTCAAGGCGGCGGGGTTCCCCACGCCCACGCCGATCCAAGCGCAGTCATGGCCCATAGCGCTCTCAGGCTCGGACGTGGTTGCCGTGGCTAAGACAGGCTCGGGAAAGACGATCGGGTACCTGCTGCCCGGGTTCGTGCACCTGCAGCAGCGGCGCAACAACAGCCGCCAGGGACCGACGGTGCTGGTGCTGGCGCCCACGCGCGAGCTGGCCACGCAGATCCACGCGGAGGCGGTTAAGTTCGGTCGGTCGTCGCGCATCAGCAGCACGGTGAGAGAGAGAGAGAGACAGCGGGAGATAGCGGGAAAGAACGGGAGCGAGCGGGTTAGAGAGCGGAGAGAGCGGGAGAGAACGGGAGATTGCGGGAGGCAACGGGTGAGGGCGAGAGAGAGAGGGAGAGGGCGGGAGAGAGTGGGAGGTGGTTGTGAAGACTTAGAACTTGCAAGGAGGGGGGTCGGGTAGGGGTGGGGGCGGGTTCAGATTGGTTCGGCAGAATGTGTGGGCGAGAGGAAAGTGAAGGGGAGTTGGGTTTAGAATGGGGGTTGGGGGGAGGGGCAATGAAGGATGGTGAGTTTGGTTGTCACGGGTTTGAGGGTTTATCAGTGAGATGAGGGAGATGAGGGCGATGTTGACGAACACATGCAACTCCGAGAGTGTTAATTGTGAATTTTCGAAGAGACGAGGCTGTAGCTTGTGGACGCAGTGGTGAGAGTGATTGATAAGGGACCCGAGGAGGTCAGACTAAGATGGTCTTTTTCTGCTACCAGTTTCTGTGGGAAGTTGTGCTTTGTTCAAGGATCTAAAAAAAATAGAAACCCCACTTTCCCCCTGCCTTCTGTGTAGTCAAGCCAAATATACGTTGTTGTGGAGAGTGAGTTTGTGCCTGGTCAATTAAAAGAGCGATTTTTTCTCATTTACCGAGTGAGCACACTCATATCAACGATAAACTTGAAAAGAACAAGGTAGGAAAGACCAGTTAAGTGGGGTTTCATCTTTGAAACGCCATCAAATCGGGTTGCACAGGTTCAGGGTTCCCTGAAACCTTGTTTCCTCTACTTCCACCCTTGCCTTCCCCCCCCCCTCCCTCTCCCCCCCTCGCCCTTCCCTCCCCCCCTTCCTTCCCCGCTCCTTCTTCCCCCAGTGCGTGTACGGCGGCGCGCCCAATTACCCGCAGTTGAGGGAGCTGCAGTACGGGGCGGATATTGTGATCGCCACGCCCTTACCCACTCCTCTCTTCCTCTCCACCCCCTGCCCCTTGCCTCCCCCCTTCCCCCCTTCCCTCTTGCCCTCTTCCCCCCTTCCCCCAGTGCGTGTACGGTGGCGCGCCCATGAACCGCCAGCTGCGCGAGCTGCAGTACGGGGCGGACATTGTCATCGCCACACCCTTTCCCACTCCTCTCTTCCTCTCCACCCCCTGCCTGCCCCTTGCCTCCCCCGCTCCCCCATTCCCCCTTGCCCTCTTCCCCCCTTCCCCCAGTGCGTGTACGGTGGCGCGCCCATGAACCCCCAGCTGCGCGAGCTGCAGTACGGGGCGGACATTGTCATCGCCACACCCTTTCCCACTCCTCTCTTCCTCTCCACCCCCTGCCTGCCCCTTGCCTCCCCCGCTCCCCCATTCCCCCTTGCCCTCTTCCCCCCTTCCCCCAGTGCGTGTACGGTGGCGCGCCCAAGAACCCGCAGCTGCGCGAGCTGCAGTACGGAGCGGACATTGTCATCGCCACGCCAGGCCGCCTCAATGACTTCCTCGAGGCCAACCAGATCAGCCTGCGCCAGGTGCGTGCTGGTGGGCGTGGGTGGTTGGGGGGGTGGTTGGGTGTGGGGTTGCAAGTGAGAATGTGGGTGTGAGTGGGGGTGGGTGTGGGTGTGGGGGTGGGTGTGGGGGTGGGTGTGGGTGTGGGTGTGAGTGTGGGTGAGAGGGTGTGTGGGTGGGTGCATGTGCGTACCTTTGTTTGTGGGGAACGGGGGGGATCGTTCTGTCCGAGTCACACACGACTGGTAGTGCTTGCATCCCTGAACAAATCAGTTTTCAAGACAGCTGCTTATGACACGGCAAGTATGCCTTCTTCCCTCCCTCCCTCTGCCTCTTATTCCTTGCCATGGGGTTCATGCTGTTTCACTCCCTTGACTCCTCTCCCCTCATCCCCTCTCCCCCGCCCCCTCCCGCCACCCACTTCCTGTTCTCACTCCTCCCCCCGCAGGTGTCCTACCTGGTGTTGGACCAAGCAGATCGGATCGCATGCTGGACATGGGGTTTGGCACAAACAGAGAGGAACAGCACCTTCAACCCCTCTCTGCTCTCTCCCCCTCTCCCTCGTTTGCTCTCTCCCCCGCAGGTGTCCTACCTGGTGTTGGACGAGGCGGATCGCATGCTGGACATGGGATTCGAGCCGCAGATCCGCAAGATAGTGGCGCGCGTGCCCGGGCGGCACCAGACGCTCATGTACACGGCCACGTGGCCGCGCGAGGTGCGGCGCATCGCAGAGGACCTGCTCTCCTCGCCCGTGCACGTCACCATCGGCAGCACCGACCAGCTCGTTGCTAACAAGTCCATCACCCAGGTGCGTGACTGATTCTTTGGAGGGGCCGGGGCTGGGCCTGGGGCTGTGGATGGGGGATGGGGGTAAGACAGAGGGGGGGTAGGGCTTGGGGATAGGCATAAGATAGAGGGTGGGAGGCAGGCAGGGGCAGTGCTGGGTGGCGTGTGGTTTGGAATAAAGTTTAGCAGAGGACCTGCTCACCTCGCCTGTGCACGTCACCATTGGCAGCACCGACCAGCTCGTTGCCAACAAATCCACTACTCAGGTTCGGTTTCCTTGTAGGATTTCTAGGGGAAAGGTCTGGGAAGAAAAGAGGTGGGAAGAGCGGGGATGGGGTATGGCCTACAGGACCCTTCAACTCAGGACAGGACCATTCTGGTCCAACATCTGGGTATGCCGTTTTGGTCCTATCTTGTCCCCGTGTTGTCGCCCTTCTATACAATGAGAAAGGGCGATATGTTTGTTGCATGATGGACCAGGGTTCAGGGTTTTATGGTCAATGGCAGCTGTAGTAGCAGCAGCAATGGGAGAATGGGTCATTTTCAGTTGAGGATAGAAGAACCCCTGTCTTTTAAACCACTATGTATTCTTTCCCTTCTCTAACCGTTCTCTAGGTTGTTAAGTGCGATAAAGTGCTGTGATCAATCCCCTTGTGATATACGCGATACCAAGTCATAACCCCACTTTCGCGACTCCACGCTTGCAAAAGAACAAACCCCCCTCTCCCTCCCACATTCCCTTGCGTTGCATCCCTCGCCACCCATATTTCGTGTCCCCGTGCCCCCTCCGCTTCCCAATCTTCCCCCATCCCCGTGTTTTCACCCCTCACCCAACCCATCCACCCCGGACCTCCCCCCTGCAGATCATTGAGCTGCCAGCGCCTTACGAGAAGCAGCGTCGGCTGGAGCAGATCCTGCGCTCGCTCCCCCGCGGCTCCAAGGCCATAGTCTTCTGCTCCACCAAGCGCATGTGTGACCAGCTCTCACGCTCCCTCGACCGCAGCTTCGGCGCCGCAGCCATTCACGGGGACAAGTCCCAGCCCGAGCGCGACCACACTCTGGCCCAGTTCCGCTCCGGCGCCATGCCCACCCTGGTTGCTACTGACGTTGCCGCGCGCGGGCTCGACGTGAAGGACATTCGGTGCGTGATCAACTATGACTTCCCCACGGGTGTGGAGGATTATGTTCACCGGATTGGGCGGACGGGGCGGGCCGGGGCGACGGGGACGGCGTACACGTTTTTCGGGCCGCAGGACGGGAAGTATGCGAGGGAGTTGATCAAGGTGTTGGAAGGGGCGCAGCAGGTGGTTCCTCCGGAGCTGCAGCAGATGGCTGCTAGTGCCGGGCCGGGCCGAGGGATGTCCAGATGGGGCGGTGGAGGAGGAGGGAGGTCTGGGGGAGGGTATGGTGGCGGTGGTGGGTATGGCGGTGGTGGTGGTGGGTATGGTGGTGGTGGGGGTGGGTACGGAGGAGGGGGGGGTTATGGAGGTGGGGGTGTTGGGGTTGGCGGTGGGGGTTTGTCGGACGAGGCTGCGTCTGCTGCGATTGCATCTGCTGCCGCTGCTGCTGCCACCATTGCCGCTAGTGCTGGTGCTGGCCGTGCCGACGGCGGCCGATGGGGAGGAGTTGGAGGTGGAGGAAGGGGGGGAGGGAGCGACGATTACGGCCGTGGAGGGGGGAGGACTGTGGGAGGGTATGGCAGCAGCGGCAGGGATCAGGACAGGGATGGGTACCGAGGCCGATCACCCCCGGGCAGGGACCGTGGGGGCAGCGGCCGGCATGACGACAGGGACAGGGATCGCGACCGCGATGCCGATCGCTACCAAAGCAGGAGAACCCGCAGCCGCAGCCGCAGTCCCAGCCGTAGCCGCGGCCGCAGCAGGAGCAGGAGCCGCAGCAGGAGCCCTCGGAGAAAAAGCAGGGAGACAGCCCGCCGCGGCTCTCGCAGCCGCAGCCGATCCCGCTCCCCCCGCCGCCGCACCAGAAGCAAGTCCCGCACGCCGCCCAGCAGAAGCCGCCGCAGCAGCCGCAGCCCGCCGCCCGCCCGTAAGCGCCACAGCCGCAGCCGCAGCAAGAGCAGGAGCCCGGAGGCCCGGCGGCGCCGAACCTACAGCCGGAGCAAGTCCCCTGGTGGGAAGCATCGCAGCCCTGTGCGCAGTCCTGTGGGGAAGAAAGACTAGAAGTGGAACTGTGGAGGGAAAAAATGAGGGACGAGTTTTGCAAGAGATCTAGGCCGGAGGAGAACCTGCAGCTGGAAGTACGGTTCATGTTAGAGTGTGGGTGTGGATGTGTGGGTATGGCTCTGGGAGGGAGGATGGTGTGGAGGTAGGCTTCTTGGAGGGTTGGATGCTTTTTGAAGAGTTGCTAAGGAAAGTTTTGCCTAAAAAGCTACCAAGACAAATTTCTGGTTTTGCAACTTTCCTACGGATTTCCTTACCATTTATCTCCAGGTTACGTTAAAGCTCGCGGCCCAAACTGTACAGCTTTACTTAAGTTGCATGTTGGGAGGTGAGGGAGCAGGGTTGGCTAGTCGAGGTGTTGGGTGGGTTGAGGGCTTTGGTTTCGCCCAACTTCTCGCCAATCTCAAACACATTTCGCTGACTCCAGGGGCCACTTCGTGTTTGGTTGCATGAGTCCCATATTGCACAAATACTATCCTTGCCAGTTTCCCACCCAACCCCCTCCGTAAACACTGTTTCAATTTTGCTAGCCAATCAGCTCAGTGTTTCAAATTGACTAGCCAATCAACTTCCTTCGTACAACCCGTAACCTCAATTCGCAAAACCCAGCACCTGCAAAACAACTATCAATCAACCTTACTAAGGTTGCCCAGCGCGGCCCGCAATTTGGGCCGCAAGCTTTAACAAGCTGGTCTTTCGAACTGAATTCGCATGTACCATGAGCTGGATCTTCCTATTTGTTGGGGAAAATAGGCTTATGCCCACATTTTTCATGTTGGCTCCATGCTTTGGATAAGAAATCGGATAATGAAATAAGTTAGACATTAGATATTTTGTTATTTTTCAACTCGTGTTCTGTTCGACTGCGCGTACCATTCACATTCCATAGACCTCGGGTCATCTCGAAATGGACAAATCAGTCTTCTAGCGAGGGCGGGGTTTACAATGCGAGTGAAACAAAAGTGAATTTCGGCCAATCCGACGCGACAACGGAACTCGACGGCGAGAGAAGCCAACTCATCCATGCTACGCAGCGTCAGTAAAAGTGGAGTCTTTGCACGTGCATGGTGAATCTATTCACCTCGCTGCTGCATTCCGAACCTGCGCTTCTCTGTTGGGCGACCTTCTGCTGGCGAAGCTCCAACCAGACGTCACCTTCGGGCTCATCAAAGCTGGCGCTGATAGGTCAGAGTTTCTTCCGTTAGCGAGGGGGTTTGCTCCCACTTCCGCTATTGCGCACACGGCAGAAGGTGGGACAGGTGGTTTCGGGTGCGCGGAGCGGGTTGACCGCTACCTGAGCGGGCATGTGACATTGATGATGTGGTGAAACCACATGCCCGCCTTCTTCGTGAGTCATGACACGCGGGGACGGATGCTGAGTCGTACAGTCCTCACACTTGATGAAGCACAGAGTGCAATATGCAAGCGGGCAAAATGAAAAGTAAACCAATCCAAATGTTTTTCTTGTGCATTGTACACAGTCACGTGCACTGGTAGCCGACCACTGTATGTTTCCCAAGAATCGGAGATGAAGCATCAGCTACTACAAGGCCAACTATTAACGTGGTCCCCCCAGGCGTCGGTGGGGCAGGGTTAGTTGGAAACATAAAACTTCTTAGTTCCTCCCACTCGCCTCTTCCCCTTCCATGACCTCTTCATATCCCTCCTCCTCCAACACTTGCAGCAACAATCAGGCAGAAGAGCAACAATTTGACTTGCTGTAACTCTTTCCCTGACGCAACTCCAGGGACTCGCTGCTGCGTGCAGGCTTGTAACCCTGGTGTTTGTTAGTGAGCTCAGACATTCGTCTATCACTTTGCCAAGAAAGTGAACTGAGAGGCTAGAGTCTACCATACACCGGTTTCCGGGTTCTGCCTTCCCGCTTCTCGGTGTTTTTGCCAGGCCTCATGGCGGATCGTCCAGGCTTGTCGTAGCTGAATCTGTTGCACCTTGCAGTTCAATGTTTCGTGCCTCGGCATGTTCTTTGTGTTACAATCAATTTGGCATCCTGCCTAGGCAGCCAGAAATGGTACTTTCGCTACTTTCGAGTCTTCGTAACGGGAGTGAGGTGTCCGTCTAGGAGGCATGGATTGAACTGGGGGTGAACCGACACGTGGTGGCTTGCTGGTACTTATTCTTCTCCTTCTCTTTCTCCTCCTGCTTTCCCCCCACCCACCTCAATCCCTCCCCTCTTCCCCGTCCCCTCTTTATTATATGTCGTCACTGTTATGTGTATAATTGATATGTTAGTTCTCAGTGTGTTCCCCTCTCGGTTTGGCAATAGCTTTAGGATTAAATTTTAGGCCTAAGGTCCGCTATTCTTTATTTATTCATCCCGATTTCAGGCTGTCACGTGGCAGTATCACTCGTCGTGCGCCAAACACCTTACCGCGCTCGAACCCCGTACGCGTGCGTCTCGCGTCTCGACATGGCGAGCTCGTCGGGGCAACACAAGTTGCAGGCTCAATGGCTCGTTAGCGTTAGCTCGTGAGAGAGCGGCAGCGATGTGACATCGGTTTTTTTATTCCAGGCTTCACAAGAGTGCGCCTGATGATATGTACATTTATGAGAGGAGTTTTCTGATGTCCGACATTCTTTCGTCAAATCCCTAGTCTGCGCTTCGTCTGCGTCGATGATTGGGTTTATTTGAGTAAAGTTAGCGGTTCGACTACGGACACGATTATTGGAGCGTGCTACGTACGTCTTCTTCCAAGCAGGACTCAGCTGACTATCGATCATGCGACGCTCTACGTTCCATTCGTCTCCCGCATTCGGCGGCGGCGTTATGCTGGCAGCTGCCCACTCCCCGCACTCCTCTCCCTCTCCGCCACCGCCTCCCCGCGCAAGCGGCTTCACCCTGTCGTCCTCCCCTGACCTCCCGCCGCCAGCCGCAGCGCCACAGCCGGTGCGTCGCTCTTCGCTGTCCCATGCCCTCGGGACCGCCGCGCAGCCTCCCGCGCCTTCCCCGCCCTCCGCCGAGTTCGCGCCTGCTGCTACCTCCGCCGTCGCCAGCGCCCCTACCGCCTCTTCGAAATTGTCGCGCAAGTCTGGTCGGTGGGACTTCTTTCGCTGGGCGGACGAGGAAGAGGACGAGTTGAATGAAGCGGAGGAGGTTGATGGGGAGGGGGAGGAAGCGGAGGAGGAAGTGAAAAACGGAAGGCCGGGGGAGGAAGGGAAGGAGGAGTGTGAGGACTTTCTATGCGCGAGTCCCGCCGCCATTCGCGGCAGCGAGCTGCGATGGGGTCGCGAGAGCGAGCGCATGAGCGCCAGCTTCAGCGGTGCCGATCGCGGCGGCAGCAGGATGGCGGTGACTGCGACTCGAAGCGACAGCAGCGCTGGCGTCGGCGGAGCCATTTGCGGCGTCGATCGCGGCGGTGCGCACAGCGGTGCCGGTGAGATGTACGGTTCGAACTGCCGGGACCGTGCCCCATTACCTTGCCTCTCCACCACCACGGCCACCGCCTCAGCCACCGTCACTACTGACACCGCCGCCGGTGCCAGCGCCGCTTCCTCCGCTGCTCCCTACTTTCCTCGTCACGCGTCCTGCCCGTCGTCGCCGTCGCACAAGGCGCTGCCTGAAGCCGTGCCCGAGGCGCGTCCCGCGATCGAGCCGAGCTCTGCTGCGGGGAGCACAGCAGGCGCACCCATCCTAGGGCGCTCATCCGGTAACGGAGGGATTGCGCAACAGCGGAGCAACCAACGGCGGAGCGAAGAACGCGACCAACGCGACCAACGCGACCGTTGCGACTCGTCCCCGCATCCGCAGTATGGTGAAGGCTGTTCCCTGGCTGATTCCTCCTCCGCGCTCTGCGCTTCCGCCGTTCCTTCCGCTTCGCCCCGCGCCCCTACCGTGTCGCTGGCTCTAGCGGAGCCGTATACCCTATTGGAGTTCCCCCCGAGGGGGAAGAGCGGAATCAGCGCGGCCGCGCCTCTCCCCGTCTCTCCGCCCGCCCGCCCGCCCGTCCTTGCTCTCCTCTCCGCTGCCCGCGCGGGGCTGGCGGCGGGCGCGCAGCCGGTCTCTGCGCACGGGGGCCTGGGCGGAGCATACATCTTCCGCGACGAGTCTTGCGCCAACCTTGCGATCGTGAAACCCGCGGACGAGGAACCGCTTGCGCCTAACAACCCCAACGGGTACGTGGGGCGCGCGCTGGGGCAGCCGGGGCTGAAGCGGAGCATCCGCGTGGGGGAGGCGGCGGGGCGGGAGGTGGCGGCGTACGTGCTGGACCATGGCGGGTTCGCGGGCGTGCCGTGCACCGCGCTCGTGTGGGCCGCGCACCCCGTGTTCCACGTCAATGCTCCGCCGCCCCTTCCGCCGCAGCAGCAGCAGCGGGGGCACCACCAGCAGCGGGAGCCGGCGCAGGCGCGGGATGGGGAGCAGGCGGCGGCGGAAGCGGAAGCGGAAGCGGGCGCGCAGTTGCGGCTGTGTTCGATGCAGCGGTTCGAGGAGCACGACTTCGACGCGAGCGAGCACGGCACGTCGCGCTTCCCTGTTTCCGCCGTGCACCGCATGGGCATCCTCGACGTGCGCCTTCTCAACACGGACCGCCACTCGGGGAACATCCTCGTGAAACGGCTCGGCGGCTCGGAGGGCGAGGAGGAGAAGCGCGGGGGGAGGCGGAGTAGTTCCGCGCACGCGCACGCACTCCTGCGCGCGGAGGATGACGTGCGGCTGATCCCCATCGACCACGGGTTCTGCTTGCCTGAGACGCTGGAGTCGGCCTATTTTGAGTGGCTGCACTGGCCGCAGGTGCGCTGCTGCGCCAGCAAGGCGCGGGGGAAAAGGGGACGGGGGGAAGAGGGGGGTAAGGGGTATGGGGAAATGGTCAGGGGGAAGCTTTGAAGGGGGAGAGGGGGTGCGCCCTTGCGCTAGGCGATAGGGGTTGAGGGTGTTGCAAGTCTTGAGCTATGCTCTATGGAGACACCTTTTGTCATCCTTCTTATGTTATACCTTAACCTCGTCGTGCTTACTTTCCTCCATTCTTCCCCCTTTCCTCCCAATTTTCTTCGCCTCATCCCCCCCGCCCTTCGCCCTCCCTCCCCCTGCCCCTCCTTTCCAATATGCGCTCTCCACCCGCCTCTACCCTCTCCGGTCCCCCCCCCAGGCGTCGCGCTTGTACATAGCCGCGCGGGACGCCTTGTGAGCCTCCTTTTGTCACACTCAAAAGTCTCAGCCCGCTTCTCCCTTTGTCCCGTCTCCCCCCCAGGCTTCTCTGCCCTTCTCCCCCGACGAGCTCGAGTACATAGCCGCGCTAGACGCCGCGCGGGACGCGCAGCTGCTGCGCGCGCACCTCCCCGCCATCCGCGCGGGCTGCCTGCGCGTGCTCGCGGTCACCACGACGCTGCTGCAGCGCGCGGCGGCGGCGGGGATGACTCTGGCGGGGATAGGCGCGCTGATGACGCGCGAGGTGCAGGGGCGGGAGGAGCGCCCGAGCGACCTGGAGGTGGCGTGCTGGGAGGCGCTGCAGGCGGTGGCGCAGGGGGGATACAGGAAAGGGGAAGGGGAGGGGGAGGGGGAGGGGGATGGGGAGAGGGAGTGGGAAAGGGAGGGGGAGGGGATGTGGAGGGTGGAGAGTGAGAGTGAGGATGGGGTGGAGGGGGGGATTGTTGAGGAAAGGGACGAGGATGAGGAGACCAGTGAGGAGGGCAGTGAGGAGGGGAGTGATGATGGGAGTGAAGAAGGAGAAGATGCGTGGGAGTGTCCTAGCTGGGCTGTGGGCGGTGATAGCTATGCTGCTTCTTCTGCCAGTGGTGCTGGTGCTGGTGAAGACACCAGCACATGTGCCGCTCTCAGTGGCAGCAACAGCAGCAGCAGCAGCAGCAGCAGCAGTGTACCGCCGGTGCTGTTTGCCCCCATCAAGGCAGGATGGCGATGGGCGGACGCTGCTGATGAGGAGGACGAGGAGGAGGATGCGGCGGTTGACTGTGCTGGTGCTGGTGGCCTTGCTGCTGCTGCTGCTGCTGCTGCTGCTGCTAGCGGTGGTGATGCTGATGCGGATGTGAGGAGTCCCCATGGCGAGCAGTTTCACTTTGACGATGAAGCTGACTTCCTGCGACGCTCCTCCACCACCACAACCGCCACCACCTCCAGTGCCACCGCCACCTCAATCACCACCGCTGACACCACCGCCACTGCTGCTGCTCTCACAACAGCCACCTCTTCAGTTCCTCGCCCGCCATCCCTCTGTTCCCTGGACCCTGCTCTCCCCATGTCACCACCATGCACAAGCGCACCACTGCTTGACATCCTCCGCCTTGCTCCAGGCGACGCTAGCAGCCCCATTCTCCCTGCCATCCCTACTGGCTCTTCCTGCCCTGCCACCCCTGCCACCCCTGCCAACCCTCCCACCTCTGCCAACCCTCCCACCCCTGCCAACCCTCCCACCCCTGCCAACCCTGCCGGGCCTGCCGGTCCTGCCGTTCCTGCCATCTCTGCTGCAATCCCTCCTGTCCCGGCTGTGTGCTCCCAGGATTCCATCCAATCCGCCCTGTGCAATCGCTTCGCACCCACCAGCAAGACCCCGCTGCCGTCTCTGCCATCCCTGCCGTCTCTGCCGTCTCTGCCATCCCTGCCGTCTCTGCCGTCTCTGCCATCCCTGCCGTCTCTGCCGTCTCTCCCTGCGTTCCCGTCTGCGCTCTCGTCTCTCCCGGCGCTAGAGCTCTCGCCGTACCTCTCGCCCCTCTCCCTGGCCGCGCCTGGCGGCAGCTGTGACTCGCTGCTGCTGGTGGCTCACACCGATGCCACTGCAGCAGCAGGGGATGTGGACCAAGGGTCGATTGGGCAGGTGCAGGAGCAGGGGCAGCAAGGGCAGGTGCTGTCACTGTCTGCTTCTTTCCCTGCGCTGCCTGCAACAGCGGACTATCCCGGCTGTGGCGTTTCCGACACGGGTTTCGATAGCAGCCTCAGGGGATGGAACATCAGCAGCGGGAGCAGCAGTAGCAGCAGCAGTGGCTGTGGCGGTGGTGGGGTGAATAATACGCCCTGCTTCTCCCTGCTCTCCCCCCCGATCCTGGCCTCTGATACCAATTCAGCTCTCAAGTCACCTCTGCTTCTCTCATCCTCCTCCTCTTCTTCGTCCTTGTATCTCAACAGCAGCAGCAGTGTCGCTACGCCTCCCACTGCTTCCTCTTCCTCTCACATTCCCACCTCGCGCACCCCCCTCTCTTCCTCCTCTTTGTCCTCCTCCTATGTCCCCCCGCCTCGCCTCGCCTCCAGAGCTCTGTACCGGCGACCAGTAGGGCAGATGCAAGGAGCAGGAAAGGCAGGAGTGAGGAGGCACCAGCAGCAGCAGCGCCACCAGCACCATCACCAGAAGGAGCAGCAGGAGCAGCAGGAGATGCAGCATAGGAAGGTTGGCCTGAGCCATTCACTGGCTTGCTCGCCTATGCCGCGGTGTGCAGGCCGGGGAGGAGGGCGCTCGGGAGGAATGGCAGGAGCAGGGGGAGGGAAACCAGGGAGGGCAGGGGCATGGATGGAAGCAGCAGCAGGAGCAGGCGGACTAGCAGCAGGAGGAGCGGCAGCAGGGGGAGCGGGAGGAGCAAGGGAGGAAGGGCCTGGGGAGTGGGTGGATCTGGGGGAGGTGAGGGAGGAGGCGTGGGGGGAGTTCATGTGCGTGCTGGTGGGGATACTGGACGAGCTTATAGCTCAGCGGTGCGGGGACTGTGTCACTCGCAGGCTGCACTTTGGAACCTCGTGCCAGTTCTGATGAGCCCTGAGCCCTCAGCCCTGGGTCCTGAGCCCTGGTCCCTAAAGCCACAGCCCCGAGTCATGAGCCCTAAGCCCTGACTGCTACAGATGCCTCTCACAACTAGAGATGTGATCTGATGCCTCTCTGAACAATTCAACGCCTGCTTCTGAATGACAACCATGATGCTTCAAGTGTCTTCCGTTTCCCCTTCCTCCTGTTTTGCTGTTTCCCTGCTTGTATCGCTTCCTGCGATCTCTCGTAGTATAAGAGAGCGTAGTAGCACAGAGAGTGAAGGGAGTGAAGTGAAGGGAGTGGCTGGCTGGCATGTGTGCTCTGTGTTTTCCTGGCTAAGCAAGTCGGTTGGTTGGTGCGTGCTTGCACCAGTTGGTAGCTCTGGTCTGGTAGTAGGCCATGTAATGGTGTCTATCTACGTAGTAGCGTTATAGTCTATATTTGCATGCTTCTCTTGCTATTCATGCTGTATGCTTCCATGTCATGTAAGGTACGGTACTAAACTTGGCCTTTTGTTGCTGCGCTGCAGGTGCAGCCTCACAAGGGAGGAAAGGAAGAGTTTTTTTTACCCAGTGACTTGGGTAGCAGTACAGACACGACGCAAACACAACATTTGTAAGGAATTTTCCCGAATTCCTTATCGGGGTTGACTGCTTCGCGTACAACCCGATTTTCGGAGTTCGCACGTTCGGCCGATTTCAACGCTGCCAAGGCTCCTCGCGTCGCCTTCGGCATTCCCATCGCCAAACCTGCACCCAACCTCGCTCGTCCGAGGTTTCCTCCTAGCTAGACCAGCCCTACATTAGTCTGTGCACTCATTGTATTCGCAGTTGATTCAGTCACAGCCTCGTTATTCGTTTACCTGCGCACTCTCTTTTACAACTCATAACACCTGGTATCAGAGCTACTTTCTGTCAGAATGAGGAATGGATGTTGCATTGATGTTGGTTGGGGTACATATGACAAACCCTAACTTCTGTACCCCCTAAGACAAACCTCACTACAGGCTACAACATTTGACACACCCCCATAGCCTAAGTGAGGGGTGTCTAGCAAAAACAAAAAAGAGTACGGTCACAAGACCAGTCCAAAAGAAAACAAAGCTCAGGGTGGATCACAACGTCACCACACACTCTGAGCACAAGCAACAGTGGCCACAAGGCCAGTCCAAGAGATCACAAGTATATATAGTAAATGTACAGACGAAGCAGGCAATAAACTCAAGTCTACGCATGACTAGAACCTGTGTCAACAAGGCCTAACTGCACACAACACCTCTGGTGGTCACAAGGCGGAAGCGCCTTGGTGAAGATGTCTGCAGTGTTGGCCTCGGACTCTACAAACTCGAAGCGAGCCTGTCCACGCCTCTGCAACTCTCGCAGAAGAAAGTACCTGACGTGAATGTGCTTCACTCTGCTCTCCAGTCGCGGCTCACGACAGAGGAGGATCGACGCCTTGTTGTCTGTAAACAAGGTCGGTGCAGAGCTCGGCGGCTCACCAAGGTCGGCGAGCAAGAAGGTCAACCACCGCAACTCCTGTGCCGCCATGGCACCAGCGTAAATCTCAGCCTCAGCTGTAGAGGTCGAGACAGAAGAGGAGCGCGTGGAACGCCAGGAAACAGCTCCAGAACCCAGACTGAAACAGTACCCCTGAGTAGACCTGTGAGTCTCAGCGTCGTCAGCGTAAGAGGAGTCACAGTGACCAGTGAGTACGACAGACTGCTGCCCTCCAAGAACTAGCCCCACGCCTGATGTAGTCGCTAGGTACTTCGCCACCCTCACAGCTGCCGTCCAGTGAACAGGACGGTGTCTCCCTGGCGCAACAAAGCGCGCAAGGATGCTGAGAGGGAAGGCGAGGTCTGGGCGAGTACAAGTCATCAGGTACATGAGGCAACCCACAAGCTCTGCGTAGGGACCACTAGGCTCAAACGGCTCGTCAAGAAAGGGACCAGTGAGTCTGTGGTCAACAGCTAGAGGTGTGCGCTGTACGGTGGAGTGCTGAAGCCCGAACCGCTGAAGGACCTGCTGCACCATGTGTGACTGTGAGAGTGTAATGGTGCGAGCGGCTCTGTCCCTGGTGATCTGCAGGCCAAGGTAGTGGCGCAGCTCACCAAGATCAGTGCACGTGTGTCTCTTCTGCAGTTCGGACTTCACGTCTGCCAAAGCAACCCTGTCCGGAGTGGCGAAAACGAGGTCGTCGACGTAAACCAGAACAAAGAACGGTGTGGAGCCACGACGAACGAACAGCGACGGGTCGGCAGAAGACGGCTGGAACCCAAGGTCAGAGAGGGTAGAACGCAGAGTGTCGTGCCACTCACGAGGGGCCTGGCGAAGACCGTAAACAGGTCGCCTCAGCCTCCACTGGGTCCCAGGAGGGAAGGTGCCAGTGAAGGCCGAGGGACGACGCAACCAGACCTCCTCGTGTAGGCTGCCCTGAAGGAAAGCAGTGGAGAAGTCAAGAGAGTGTAACTCGTAGTCTCTCTGTGCTGCTACGTGTAGTAACACCCGAAGAGTGGTCATCTTCGGGGTAGGTGCGAAGGTCTGAAAGAAGTCAACTCCCTCGCGCTGACTGAAACCTCTAGCCACGTAGCGCGCCTTGAAGACCGGGGGAGATCCCGGTGGCCGCTTCACCCTGTAGATCCACATGCCGTCGACTACGTTCGCCCCAGGGGGGGGAACCTCATCGACGTAGGTGCCTGTGGATCTGTAGGAGGCCATCTCTGCGTCCATGGCAGCTCTCCACTGAGAGGCCCAAGGCCCTGACACTGCCTCAGCGTAAGTGCGAGGAGTCGGAATGTCAAGGGCGTCGGGGTCACCCTCAGGGGCGAGGAGCATGGCACAGAGATGAGGGGAAGCGGCCGCCAGGAACTCTAGCTCAAACTGCCTGTCCTCTAGGGCGTCACAGCCAAGGGCAGACACACCCCCGACGGCCAGAGGACTGGTAGGAGGAGCAGCCACAAGCGTGGTGGCGTAGTCAAGGCGGCGGGTAGAGGCAAAGTCAGTAACTGCGGCAGTAAGAGCGGACACAGAGGACACAGAGGCACGAGGGTGAGTAACAAGAGAGGCGAGAACACGAGAGAGAACAGGACGGTACGTGCGGTAGTAGTCAGTGACAGGAGTAGGGAGCGACACAGTGAGGGCCGACTCAGGAGGAGACGGAAGCACAGACTGAGACGGACGAGGTGGACTAGAAAGAAGGAAGGCAGTACGAAGGTCAGTGAAGGGAACAGGAGACGAGGGACGAGCACGAGGGGAGCGACGAGTAGCCCAAGAACGAGACGGAGGAGAAGAGGACAAGGGCGGAGAACTGGGGAAAACAGCGGGGGAGGAGTCAGGAGGAGGAAACGTGGGACCGTAGACAGGAGGAGAGGCGGAGGAGGGAGGAGAAGGGGAGGGGAGACCAAGGATCCGAAGACCCGAGACAGGAGGAGGAAGTGGCTGCTGCTGCTGCGGCTGCGACTGCTGCTGCTGCGGACGCGGCTGCTGCTGGGACTGCTGCTCCTGCGGGTCCAGCTGCTGCTGCTGCTGCTGCTGCTCCTGCGGCTCCAGCTGCTGCTGCTGCTCCTCCAGCCGCTGTAACTCCCTCTCCTCTCTCTCCAACGCCAGCTGCTCGTCACGGGCACGGCGAACACGAGCCTGGTGCCTAGTCGGGTAGGGGTGGGGGGGTGGAGTAGTGTCCGAAGCAGCGGCAGCTCCAGAGTCCACCCCAGAAGAACTAGGCGCACCACCCCCAGAGGCAGCACTAACACCAGCTCCAGACCCAGGCTCACCAGAACCCGAAGGAGGCGCACCCTCACCCCCAGACGCAGCACCCCCAGTGTCCGCGCGGCCAGCACCAGCTCCCGGACGACAAGAGTCCTCTGCACCCACCTGGTCAGCTCCAACTCCAGAACCAGAAACTCCAGCTCCAACCCCAGCTCCAACTCCAGCACCCCCAGAACCAGAAACTCCAGTGCCAACTCCAGCTCCAACTCCAGCTCCAACTCCAGCACCCCCAGAACCAGAAACCGGTACAGGAACAGGCGCCGCACCAACCTCTCGAGAGCTAGCACCAGCGGCACGCTGCGAGGAGGACTGTGGGGAGGGAGGCTGTACCGGAGGGGCTACCGAAGGAGGAGGGGTAGCCTGGGACACACCTGACGGGGCTGGACCAGGGGGGGGAGGCTGTACCGGGGGAGCAGGAGGGGGAACGGCAGTCAGGAAGAGGGGGGGAGGAGGAACTGGGAGACCTCGACTGGGGTACCTGACGTAGTACGGAGTGGACTCCTCGAAACGGACGTCACGGGAGTCAAAGAACCGGTGAGAGGGAGGGTGGTAAAAGGTGAAGTCAGAGGAGTCCTCAGGGAAACCAAGGAAGACACAGGGGACGGCACGAGGCGAGAGCTTGTCCGCGGAGGTGTCGCGGACAAGAGCCAAGCACCCCCAGACACGAAACCGCGACGCAACACCAGGGGACCCTGTCCAAAGACTGGTCGGTGAAACCTCTGGTCGAGAGACACGTGGCCAGAGGTTCAGCTGGTGCGCGGCGTACCTGACCGCGTAGGGCCACAGAAAATGGGGGGCACAGGCGTGAGTCAGGGAGGTGCGGGCGATCTCCATGACCAGGCCTATGCGGCGCTCAGCAACCCCATTCTGCTGTGGGGACTCTGGAAGCGTCCAGGACTGACGAATGCCCTGCTCGCGACAGAATCCAGCGAGAATGCCGGAGCGAAACTCACCCCCACGGTCGGAGTGGAGACAGCTGACACGACGACCACGAGTGTCCTCAGTGGTGAGCAACCACCTGATCAGCGTAGAAGTCACCTCAGACTTCTTCGCCAGAGGGAACACTGTGGTGTAGCGGGAGAAGTCGTCAACGACCACCAGAAAGTAACGCTCACGCTCAGGGCCTAGACGAGGGGCTGGGCCCCAGACGTCCAAGTGAAGCGTCTCAAAAGGCTCGGTGGCCGGACGAAGGGAGGAGGAGTGAGGGGTGGCGCGCAGCCTACCCTCGACGCAGGGACGACACGGCGGCGCAGGCGAAGGCGGCAGCGACGGCAAGACACGTGGGAGGCCTAGGACAAGACGCTGACT